CGCATCCAGATTCTAGAAGAACCTCCTAAGTTATCAATATCAACCATACTTGTTAATTTCAAATTGGGTTACAGAAATTACCAACCTAGGTAATAACCTCTTAATAACTTCACACTTTGTATTTCAAAATCCTAGTTCTAACCTCATTTTTTTGGGAGCTTAATCTACAGCTAATGCCAAAAGTTCTTTAAAGTGGTCAAATGCATGTGAATCAATGGCATCATAGATACTACATGTTCGCTTTTTGTGCTTTCGTATGCAACAGCATTAGAATGTTAAAAGTAAATGAAACAAATTGACAAAACTGATAGTGCATACCATACAGTGGCCATCAACAAAGATCAAATGTGGTAGATTAGGCAGACCAGTGACTCTAGAAGAAACATAAGCACTGTACCAGTCTGTAACAGTATGAAAAAGATTAGCATACTCAAAACGTGTCACCAGAAGTGTTGGTTCCTCAATCCACTGCAGGTAAAAAACCTTATCGTCAAACTCGTGGTAAAGTGAAGGTAATTGTGAAAAACTAAAGCTAAAACAAATAGAGGAAGTATACAGGGAATGATAAGCTTCATCAATCGAATATCTCATAGACATTCACCACAGAAAGAAAAGAATGCTTGCATCTTTGACACCTAAACTTGATCAGAATAAAAGATCTTACCCAACCATTTCACATTAAACCCCCCATTTGATAAAAAAAAACAAAGCACACTTCTTATTTCACCCCTAAAGTGAACTCAATTTAATGAGTCTTTCAAACTAAGACAAGATATAATAAATTAATAACGAATCACCATAACAAATTTCAATTCAGAATCAACAAAGAAGGAAATCCTCAATTATCCCCGCTCAGCCAAGCATCACTCACAACCCTACAACTAAGGTTTTAAAGATCAGTTCACACTCGCAAGATCAAGGTTTACGAGGTGTCTGAGTCAGCAATTATGGCCATATCAGTTACATTTATCTGCAACTTGTCACAATATCAATGTTTTTGGAGATATCAGTTACAATTATCCACAATTTCTCACAACATGAAGTAAAAAAGCCAGTTTAAAACCTTGCTTACAACAACCCAACCACTAAACAACAAACACCACAAGAGCAAAGCCACAAAAAAACCCAAACTTTCCACTCCCCTCACCTCATCACATTCAAAATCCTTCCCTCCCACGATCCTAATCTTGCCGATCAAGTCCCTCATGGTGTGCCTCGTGACCTCTCCCCTCGGTACAAACCGATCCAAAAATTCACGGTCAACCAGAAACTTCCGGTCAACGAATCCACCCCCGTCAACCTCAAAAGCACCTTCTTGAAACGCCGGCAACTCCTCCTCCTCCCTCCGCCCAATCACTGCCGTCAGACTCTCCCCACCGCTCGCCATCGCGATCCTCTCCGGCACCATGCGCAACCTGCCCCCCTCGCACACGGAGCTCCGGAGAGTCTCGCTGTGCCAACACCGGAACCACCCGGCACCGTCTCGGGCGTGCAGAACGTCACGGCGGTGTGTGAATCCGTTCCCGAAGTAGGCCTCGCAGGAGCGGAGAGGGGCGGTTGTGGCGCTCTGCGGCCAGGGTAGGTACGAGGGAAGAATAGGCCATGGCTTTGAAAAATGCGTTTGGTGGGAAAGAGGTGTGAGATAGTTGTTAACTTTTAAAGGAGAAGATTTTGACGTTGAAGAAGATGAAGAGGGTTGTGGTGAGTGGTGGTGGGTGAAGTAGTAGAAGAGAGACAAAGAGTTGAGGATGAAGAGGAATACGAGAGTTCGAATAAGCAAACTTGTTCTTCTGTTCATCCTTCTTCTTCTCCTTCTCTCTGTTATCTCTCTTCTTTCTTTCTCCGGTGCGACAGTGTTCTGTTGTTGGAAAAGTTGGTGCGTAATTTTATCAAACCAAAACAGGCCAATGGAATGGTGCCATGTAGCACATGGTGACGTGAATTTGGTCCTCCTCTTTCCCCGGTCTTTCTTCCACAAAGTACAAAGAAACAAACAGAAAAAAAACTGGAAATTTTCTGAGGATTTTTTATTTCGGGGTAGAGATTCTGTAAGGATAAAAAGTTCACGATAAAAATCTGTTTCTTACTATTTTTAAATCATATATACAATCTAGGTGATTTATTTTAATTTTGAATATAATTGTTGGAATTTTTCGACACAAATTTTGGTTGACGACTTCCTGGAGATTGTTACGAAAGAACTTAGAAAATAAAACGAGGTAATATATGTTTTAAATAACGAGATTCGTTTAATAAAAGGGAATAAGAATAAATAGAATTTTAATTAATAAGTTTTATTATTTAGAATAATACTATTTTTCTAAAACTTATTAAGGAATTTTTATAGTTTCTCTGAGACTTTCTTATTTATAGTTTATCTGTTTGAATATAAAAGAGTTGATTGATTATTAAAGTGAGGTAATATATGTTTTAAATAACGAGATTCATTTAATAAAAGGGAATAAGAATAAATAGGATTTTAATTAATAAGTTTTATTATTTAGAATAATACTATTTTTCTAAAACTTATTAAGGAATTTTTATAGTTTCTCTAAGACTTTCTTATTTATTGATTATCTGTTTGAATATAAAAGAGTTGATTGATTATTAAAGTGAGATCTTTGTCTAATAATTTTTGTATAAAAATAAATTAATTTTTTTTCTTTTCTTGAGTTTCATATTTTGTTATGCATGTGAGCAGTTTTTAATGACATTTGTCATCTAAATCTTATTAACAATATACATTGATGGTGATTATGTGGTTTGTAAGAGCAGATTGAGTTCCTTGACTTTGTCATGTTGTTTTAAATCTTTTAAAATAGTTTGGCCCTTTAAAAAGTTAGAGAAAACTAAATACCTTGTTTCTAAACTTTTAGTAACTTGATATTTTGAGTTAGTATATTGGAGTTGCATGAAACTATGTTAGTTGTTGAAATTGATAGTTTGGTATGATGAATTGTTGTTATGAATAGCTTGCTTGATGTTATTTGTTTTTGGGTGATCTATAATTTATGAAACTTTTAATTTAGGTCATCAAATTGTTGTTGAATTATGTTTTGGTAATATGTTTGGATACTGGTTGGAACTATTGATGAACTGCCATTTGAGCAATTTGGTATTCAATCTCATAGTTAAACATGTTTTTGAATTAATCACAAAGACATGAATACCAAATTAGTCATTTGGATAGGTCTTGAGTATATTTAGTTGTGCTTAGTCACCGTTTAATGCCAGTTACCATCGTAGGTGTGGAATTAAATTCATGTTAAGGTGTCAAAGTATATTGAAAGGAGATTCTGACCCAACTAGTATCTTATTGACATATAATATGATATCTAGGTGGTTTGAGTCGAAAGAGGCTTCACATGAGAGAAGATATGACATGGAAGATGATCATACTTAGAGAACTAGTAGGGTTAACCTTGTCATGACTTAACGAGAGATATTGGTCCTAAGCGTTGGAACATCATTAGAGAATTGAGAGTAAGCATGATAGGTGAAGAGTTTCATGAGTCCATTCAATATATTAATCTTTTGGAAGACCATGTCGATAGTTATCTACACATAAAGAGGGTTAATATATGTTTTTATTTTTTGAATTTTGACGCGAAATTGGAATTTTTCTTTGTCCGAAACTTTAATACATTACATTTTGGTTTAAAAATGAATGTATATAGTCATTTTAACTAAATTACCTTATATCAAATTCATTTTATGCTAATATTTGAATTTGATATGTTTCTACTTCAATATCAACTGAGAAACGTGTTTTACATGTAAACAAATTTAACTAATTAAGCTTAGAAGATTATATTAATTCATTTTTAAAATTTAAAAATCAAAATGTACCATAATTTTAAACCTTAACTAATTTTAATTTGCCGAACTAAAAATATATATACTTAACTATATATATTAATTGTAGTTAAAAATGGTGGGAAAAAATATATTAATATGTGAGCAGTGGTAGGTAAAGATAAGGCTAGTAGTTTTTGAACTGGGTCAAAACTTTGAAGACTATGTAGTCATAATTTAATTAGAGTGTTTCTAAACTTTTGAGATGAATGTACTAGGTAAAAAAATCCATCTTTTGAAAAACTTTACACCCTTGTTTTTTGTTGGTTTGTGATGATATTAACTTACATTGTTGAATTTTATATTATATATTTATACCATGAGACTTATAACATGTTATTTATACTATCCACACGTAGTAAAATTTTAAGATCGTTAGAGTCTTATTTTATCTATTTCAATAAATATAAAAATATAATTACCTAAAAGTGTGTTTATGTACGGTATATATTTGCTTAAGTTTGCATTCATTTAAGTCTGTATCTTATCTAAATCCATACATGGAAAAAGAAAATTCTAAGATTAAGTTTCGAATGAATTTCTCATTAATTCTATATTGCTGAATAATATGTTGTATATAGACTGGAGTTTGGATTGCTCCAACAAAGCAATAATCATTCAAACTTAGACCTTAATTTTTGTGTTTCGTATCTCTCTGTTTATCTTTCACAATGAGATGAATTATTTTTTCAATAAATATAAAATTTATTGTATACCCACATGTTCCATAATTACATTGTGTCTAATATTCCATAATTATATAATCATAATATTTCATAATTATGACTTCTACATTCCAATTAAGTCTACATCAAACTTTTCAAATCAAAATAAAGACTGAGTGGATTCTGTAATAAGAAACTAAAAATAGAATTTATAAAGGATGAGAGAAACAAATATATTTTTTATGTAAATTTATATTTATTGCTTAGTTATTAGATTAATTTTAATAAATATTTTTTTTTATTAAATTAACTAATAACATTCTCTAAGCTTATCAATTATTTTAACCAAAGCTCTCAAAGTATGTACAAAAAAGTCTTTATTAGTTATTGCTTACCGTGGTTAATTACTAGAACTTGGAATTTGATATCTTTCCTAAACTAATTATTTTTGAACTGAGCAAACAAACATAGATATGCTTCGTCTAATTCATTCATTTAGATACATTGCATGTACGAAGGATTGCAATGTTAATTTATCCTCACTCCTTGTTATGCAAACCGACTAATGACTAATGCTAATATAATAAAGATTAATTCATATCCTTTTCAGATCTCCAATCTCTTGCTTTCTCAAATCCATTAGCAAACTTCTCAAAATCATTAATGGTTTGGTCAATCTCCTCTTGAGTGTTCATCACAAAGGGTCCAAATTGCACTAAAGGTTCCCCCAAAGGCTCTCCTCCAACCAATATGAACCTAAGGAGCTTAGAAGATTTGTTCCATGCCTCTAGACCATCACCATGGCCAAGAAGAAGAATATGGTGAGAATTTGAAGGTTGAGATTTCATGTTTCCAAAGATACCCTCTCCTTCCAATATATACACAAAAGCATTCCAAGTTTCTGGTATAGGTTGCTGCAAGTGTCCTCCAGGTTTGAGAGAGAAATCCAAGAACATGGTTGGAGTCATTGTGTAGATTGGAGACTTTATCCCCAGTGATTCCCCAGCTATAACTCTAACCTTCACACCATCATCATCCTCAGCTTCTGCTATGTCCTTACTCAACACCTCTTGATACCTTGGTTCAATCCTGATATATCAGAACAGAAGAAAGTTATACAATGATCATCTTATACAATAATAAACTGTTCTTAAAGCATTTCATTAACAAGTAAGAAAGAGCTTATTTAGATAAACTTTTTGAAACACTTATAGAAGAAACCAAATCAATTTTCAAATTGTCTTGTATGAGTAATCTTGTATTATTGTTTTAGAAGAAGTTGTTTTCAATATGCATGAAATTTCATCCTTTTCTTTCTGCAATTTTGTTTCTGAAAAAGTTTATCCAAACCAATCTTTAAGATAGAAAATATGAAAGAGAAAAGTTGAAGTTTTGACAAATAGTGCTAGATTTTCTCATTTATAACGAGACCAAAGCTAACATGAGACCACTAATCCTTTCTTAAACAAGGCCAAAAGCCAACTTAAACAACGATGTGTCGTAGCATCACAAGTACTTCCAAAAAGCTATAGTGAGAAAAGTAGACTATATATACTGTAATGGGTCACTCAAAACCTGACAAAGTTTGAAACTTGAAGTGGCAATGTGTTGCCTTTATTATTGAAGTTACCATCATCACAGGGAATATGGATGAGAGGCACATATGCTTGCCATTTCAAACCGTTGTGCACACTTGCATCATGTAGCTACTCAAAGCTTTAAAAGCACTTCTAGGAAATGGTCCATAATGGCATGGTGAGAATCATGAGAAAAAAGTGGCATGTGAAAGTAAGCAAGGTATATATTATTTCCAAAAGTAAAAATTATATTTAACTTCTTTTTTCTTTGTAAAGAGAGGAATCCCTTTTTGTCTCATTGATAGTAAGCATCAACCGGACTAAAGGATCCTTCAATGACATAACAATGATGACCAATGACGCAAAAAATATGTCATCTAAACATAAGTCCAAGGCTAAGGTTGTTGTTTGAGAAACTGAGAAAAGAGAAAAGGCTAAAATGTCTTCTCCTTGAAGGTTACTTCTAAAAGCCGTATTGTAAGATCTTTATCATTCAAATCTTATCCAAAGTGTGTTAGGTAAGTTTATTGAAACAGAATAATGTCTAAGTATTTCTTCTGTCATGTTGCCTAATAAAAACCTTATTATTCCACAGTATTTAAAATTGATCATTCAACCACATATGACTAAGTTATATACCAAAGTTTGAGAAGTAATCTAAGTTCAAATCCAATGAGGAAAAAGGGGTATTTTTTTACTAACATTTTATATTTGGAAGCAAGGTTGATCCACAATTGAAGACCCTTTTGTGTTCCTTGTGCAACAGGCATTTCTGAGTGCACAATCCCTCTCCCAGCAGTCATCCATTGCAAGTCACCAGCTTCTATAGTCCCTTTATGTCCTTCAAAATCTTCATGCGTGATAGCTCCCTGAAAGAGACCAAAGATTGTCCACTGGTAATAATAAATATGAGTACAGACACAAAGGAAGGGACTTGCATAGCACCTTCACAAGTTTAGGTACAAGTTGGTAATAGCTGTTGATATTCTAGAAGCAGAAACAAGACATTAATATGTGGGGTCATTCTTGCCCTTTTGCTTATGTAACCAGCTTTTATTGACAATTATTTTGCGGTTCGTTCAGATCTCACTAGTTAATGTGACTGATTTGGCAACTGTTTAACTTATTTGTTGGCATGTGTGAGTTCATAATATCTTATTAGAGTTCGAAACTTCAAATCAGAAAACCAAATCTTTAAGACATAATTGATTCTCCTTTCATCTTTGTTTTTTGGTTATATATATGGCTGTTTTGTTGAACAATCAGAGGCTTCTCATCAAAAGCTATGAAGTTTTGAAAATTTTATTCAAATAAGTGTATCAAAACCCAAAATATGGAAACAACTAAGATGTAGTTTCATCTTCTTCTAATTTGTTCAAGTTCTTAGAAGATGCCTGATCAATATTGTCATCTACTAGGAGTTTATTGGTATATTTAATAAAATAAAGATTTTTTTTTTGAAAGAATAATCAAACAAGTTTTCAGTCTGCTTTTGTATTTTATTTTGAACCTGGCCTTTTAAATGGCCATTAGTCCTTTAAAATATTATGTTCCTTACTTTAAAAGGGATTTCTANGAGCTCCGGAGAGTCTCGCTGTGCCAACACCGGAACCACCCGGCACCGTCTCGGGCGTGCAGAACGTCACGGCGGTGTGTGAATCCGTTCCCGAAGTAGGCCTCGCAGGAGCGGAGAGGGGCGGTTGTGGCGCTCTGCGGCCAGGGTAGGTACGAGGGAAGAATAGGCCATGGCTTTGAAAAATGCGTTTGGTGGGAAAGAGGTGTGAGATAGTTGTTAACTTTTAAAGGAGAAGATTTTGACGTTGAAGAAGATGAAGAGGGTTGTGGTGAGTGGTGGTGGGTGAAGTAGTAGAAGAGAGACAAAGAGTTGAGGATGAAGAGGAATACGAGAGTTCGAATAAGCAAACTTGTTCTTCTGTTCATCCTTCTTCTTCTCCTTCTCTCTGTTATCTCTCTTCTTTCTTTCTCCGGTGCGACAGTGTTCTGTTGTTGGAAAAGTTGGTGCGTAATTTTATCAAACCAAAACAGGCCAATGGAATGGTGCCATGTAGCACATGGTGACGTGAATTTGGTCCTCCTCTTTCCCCGGTCTTTCTTCCACAAAGTACAAAGAAACAAACAGAAAAAAAACTGGAAATTTTCTGAGGATTTTTTATTTCGGGGTAGAGATTCTGTAAGGATAAAAAGTTCACGATAAAAATCTGTTTCTTACTATTTTTAAATCATATATACAATCTAGGTGATTTATTTTAATTTTGAATATAATTGTTGGAATTTTTCGACACAAATTTTGGTTGACGACTTCCTGGAGATTGTTACGAAAGAACTTAGAAAATAAAACGAGGTAATATATGTTTTAAATAACGAGATTCGTTTAATAAAAGGGAATAAGAATAAATAGAATTTTAATTAATAAGTTTTATTATTTAGAATAATACTATTTTTCTAAAACTTATTAAGGAATTTTTATAGTTTCTCTGAGACTTTCTTATTTATAGTTTATCTGTTTGAATATAAAAGAGTTGATTGATTATTAAAGTGAGGTAATATATGTTTTAAATAACGAGATTCATTTAATAAAAGGGAATAAGAATAAATAGGATTTTAATTAATAAGTTTTATTATTTAGAATAATACTATTTTTCTAAAACTTATTAAGGAATTTTTATAGTTTCTCTAAGACTTTCTTATTTATTGATTATCTGTTTGAATATAAAAGAGTTGATTGATTATTAAAGTGAGATCTTTGTCTAATAATTTTTGTATAAAAATAAATTAATTTTTTTTCTTTTCTTGAGTTTCATATTTTGTTATGCATGTGAGCAGTTTTTAATGACATTTGTCATCTAAATCTTATTAACAATATACATTGATGGTGATTATGTGGTTTGTAAGAGCAGATTGAGTTCCTTGACTTTGTCATGTTGTTTTAAATCTTTTAAAATAGTTTGGCCCTTTAAAAAGTTAGAGAAAACTAAATACCTTGTTTCTAAACTTTTAGTAACTTGATATTTTGAGTTAGTATATTGGAGTTGCATGAAACTATGTTAGTTGTTGAAATTGATAGTTTGGTATGATGAATTGTTGTTATGAATAGCTTGCTTGATGTTATTTGTTTTTGGGTGATCTATAATTTATGAAACTTTTAATTTAGGTCATCAAATTGTTGTTGAATTATGTTTTGGTAATATGTTTGGATACTGGTTGGAACTATTGATGAACTGCCATTTGAGCAATTTGGTATTCAATCTCATAGTTAAACATGTTTTTGAATTAATCACAAAGACATGAATACCAAATTAGTCATTTGGATAGGTCTTGAGTATATTTAGTTGTGCTTAGTCACCGTTTAATGCCAGTTACCATCGTAGGTGTGGAATTAAATTCATGTTAAGGTGTCAAAGTATATTGAAAGGAGATTCTGACCCAACTAGTATCTTATTGACATATAATATGATATCTAGGTGGTTTGAGTCGAAAGAGGCTTCACATGAGAGAAGATATGACATGGAAGATGATCATACTTAGAGAACTAGTAGGGTTAACCTTGTCATGACTTAACGAGAGATATTGGTCCTAAGCGTTGGAACATCATTAGAGAATTGAGAGTAAGCATGATAGGTGAAGAGTTTCATGAGTCCATTCAATATATTAATCTTTTGGAAGACCATGTCGATAGTTATCTACACATAAAGAGGGTTAATATATGTTTTTATTTTTTGAATTTTGACGCGAAATTGGAATTTTTCTTTGTCCGAAACTTTAATACATTACATTTTGGTTTAAAAATGAATGTATATAGTCATTTTAACTAAATTACCTTATATCAAATTCATTTTATGCTAATATTTGAATTTGATATGTTTCTACTTCAATATCAACTGAGAAACGTGTTTTACATGTAAACAAATTTAACTAATTAAGCTTAGAAGATTATATTAATTCATTTTTAAAATTTAAAAATCAAAATGTACCATAATTTTAAACCTTAACTAATTTTAATTTGCCGAACTAAAAATATATATACTTAACTATATATATTAATTGTAGTTAAAAATGGTGGGAAAAAATATATTAATATGTGAGCAGTGGTAGGTAAAGATAAGGCTAGTAGTTTTTGAACTGGGTCAAAACTTTGAAGACTATGTAGTCATAATTTAATTAGAGTGTTTCTAAACTTTTGAGATGAATGTACTAGGTAAAAAAATCCATCTTTTGAAAAACTTTACACCCTTGTTTTTTGTTGGTTTGTGATGATATTAACTTACATTGTTGAATTTTATATTATATATTTATACCATGAGACTTATAACATGTTATTTATACTATCCACACGTAGTAAAATTTTAAGATCGTTAGAGTCTTATTTTATCTATTTCAATAAATATAAAAATATAATTACCTAAAAGTGTGTTTATGTACGGTATATATTTGCTTAAGTTTGCATTCATTTAAGTCTGTATCTTATCTAAATCCATACATGGAAAAAGAAAATTCTAAGATTAAGTTTCGAATGAATTTCTCATTAATTCTATATTGCTGAATAATATGTTGTATATAGACTGGAGTTTGGATTGCTCCAACAAAGCAATAATCATTCAAACTTAGACCTTAATTTTTGTGTTTCGTATCTCTCTGTTTATCTTTCACAATGAGATGAATTATTTTTTCAATAAATATAAAATTTATTGTATACCCACATGTTCCATAATTACATTGTGTCTAATATTCCATAATTATATAATCATAATATTTCATAATTATGACTTCTACATTCCAATTAAGTCTACATCAAACTTTTCAAATCAAAATAAAGACTGAGTGGATTCTGTAATAAGAAACTAAAAATAGAATTTATAAAGGATGAGAGAAACAAATATATTTTTTATGTAAATTTATATTTATTGCTTAGTTATTAGATTAATTTTAATAAATATTTTTTTTTATTAAATTAACTAATAACATTCTCTAAGCTTATCAATTATTTTAACCAAAGCTCTCAAAGTATGTACAAAAAAGTCTTTATTAGTTATTGCTTACCGTGGTTAATTACTAGAACTTGGAATTTGATATCTTTCCTAAACTAATTATTTTTGAACTGAGCAAACAAACATAGATATGCTTCGTCTAATTCATTCATTTAGATACATTGCATGTACGAAGGATTGCAATGTTAATTTATCCTCACTCCTTGTTATGCAAACCGACTAATGACTAATGCTAATATAATAAAGATTAATTCATATCCTTTTCAGATCTCCAATCTCTTGCTTTCTCAAATCCATTAGCAAACTTCTCAAAATCATTAATGGTTTGGTCAATCTCCTCTTGAGTGTTCATCACAAAGGGTCCAAATTGCACTAAAGGTTCCCCCAAAGGCTCTCCTCCAACCAATATGAACCTAAGGAGCTTAGAAGATTTGTTCCATGCCTCTAGACCATCACCATGGCCAAGAAGAAGAATATGGTGAGAATTTGAAGGTTGAGATTTCATGTTTCCAAAGATACCCTCTCCTTCCAATATATACACAAAAGCATTCCAAGTTTCTGGTATAGGTTGCTGCAAGTGTCCTCCAGGTTTGAGAGAGAAATCCAAGAACATGGTTGGAGTCATTGTGTAGATTGGAGACTTTATCCCCAGTGATTCCCCAGCTATAACTCTAACCTTCACACCATCATCATCCTCAGCTTCTGCTATGTCCTTACTCAACACCTCTTGATACCTTGGTTCAATCCTGATATATCAGAACAGAAGAAAGTTATACAATGATCATCTTATACAATAATAAACTGTTCTTAAAGCATTTCATTAACAAGTAAGAAAGAGCTTATTTAGATAAACTTTTTGAAACACTTATAGAAGAAACCAAATCAATTTTCAAATTGTCTTGTATGAGTAATCTTGTATTATTGTTTTAGAAGAAGTTGTTTTCAATATGCATGAAATTTCATCCTTTTCTTTCTGCAATTTTGTTTCTGAAAAAGTTTATCCAAACCAATCTTTAAGATAGAAAATATGAAAGAGAAAAGTTGAAGTTTTGACAAATAGTGCTAGATTTTCTCATTTATAACGAGACCAAAGCTAACATGAGACCACTAATCCTTTCTTAAACAAGGCCAAAAGCCAACTTAAACAACGATGTGTCGTAGCATCACAAGTACTTCCAAAAAGCTATAGTGAGAAAAGTAGACTATATATACTGTAATGGGTCACTCAAAACCTGACAAAGTTTGAAACTTGAAGTGGCAATGTGTTGCCTTTATTATTGAAGTTACCATCATCACAGGGAATATGGATGAGAGGCACATATGCTTGCCATTTCAAACCGTTGTGCACACTTGCATCATGTAGCTACTCAAAGCTTTAAAAGCACTTCTAGGAAATGGTCCATAATGGCATGGTGAGAATCATGAGAAAAAAGTGGCATGTGAAAGTAAGCAAGGTATATATTATTTCCAAAAGTAAAAATTATATTTAACTTCTTTTTTCTTTGTAAAGAGAGGAATCCCTTTTTGTCTCATTGATAGTAAGCATCAACCGGACTAAAGGATCCTTCAATGACATAACAATGATGACCAATGACGCAAAAAATATGTCATCTAAACATAAGTCCAAGGCTAAGGTTGTTGTTTGAGAAACTGAGAAAAGAGAAAAGGCTAAAATGTCTTCTCCTTGAAGGTTACTTCTAAAAGCCGTATTGTAAGATCTTTATCATTCAAATCTTATCCAAAGTGTGTTAGGTAAGTTTATTGAAACAGAATAATGTCTAAGTATTTCTTCTGTCATGTTGCCTAATAAAAACCTTATTATTCCACAGTATTTAAAATTGATCATTCAACCACATATGACTAAGTTATATACCAAAGTTTGAGAAGTAATCTAAGTTCAAATCCAATGAGGAAAAAGGGGTATTTTTTTACTAACATTTTATATTTGGAAGCAAGGTTGATCCACAATTGAAGACCCTTTTGTGTTCCTTGTGCAACAGGCATTTCTGAGTGCACAATCCCTCTCCCAGCAGTCATCCATTGCAAGTCACCAGCTTCTATAGTCCCTTTATGTCCTTCAAAATCTTCATGCGTGATAGCTCCCTGAAAGAGACCAAAGATTGTCCACTGGTAATAATAAATATGAGTACAGACACAAAGGAAGGGACTTGCATAGCACCTTCACAAGTTTAGGTACAAGTTGGTAATAGCTGTTGATATTCTAGAAGCAGAAACAAGACATTAATATGTGGGGTCATTCTTGCCCTTTTGCTTATGTAACCAGCTTTTATTGACAATTATTTTGCGGTTCGTTCAGATCTCACTAGTTAATGTGACTGATTTGGCAACTGTTTAACTTATTTGTTGGCATGTGTGAGTTCATAATATCTTATTAGAGTTCGAAACTTCAAATCAGAAAACCAAATCTTTAAGACATAATTGATTCTCCTTTCATCTTTGTTTTTTGGTTATATATATGGCTGTTTTGTTGAACAATCAGAGGCTTCTCATCAAAAGCTATGAAGTTTTGAAAATTTTATTCAAATAAGTGTATCAAAACCCAAAATATGGAAACAACTAAGATGTAGTTTCATCTTCTTCTAATTTGTTCAAGTTCTTAGAAGATGCCTGATCAATATTGTCATCTACTAGGAGTTTATTGGTATATTTAATAAAATAAAGATTTTTTTTTTGAAAGAATAATCAAACAAGTTTTCAGTCTGCTTTTGTATTTTATTTTGAACCTGGCCTTTTAAATGGCCATTAGTCCTTTAAAATATTATGTTCCTTACTTTAAAAGGGATTTCTAAGTCAAATATCTACTCAAAAGATTTGTCCAATGATGGCAAACAGTTATATAGGCAGCATGTGATGTTTTCCATTGAGAAAATGGAGCATGAGCTTGTCAATTGAAGCATTCAATTTGCTCTACCTGCAACATGTATGTGACTGTCTCAAAGCCTGTTCATGAAAAACATCAAAGAGAATGGACATGGAGTCATTATAACTCATAAGAGAAAAATTCTCAACAACAAAAGAAAAAGGCCAATTTTCAAACCTCTATGAGGATGATCAGGAAAACCAGCAGGAGCAGTAACTGCAATGTTCAAAATTTCACATTCTTAGAAAACAAAAAATCACACACTTTGCCTCAGCAGGAAAACAGAGCAAAAAACAGAGGCTTTCTCACCTGAGAATTCATCCAGCATAAGGAAGGGATCAAAGTACTTGAGCTCAAACCTGATCAAACCCACTTAATAAATCAATTCAAAGATCTCAACTTTGCAATTAGTGCAAACTTTTAATGCAAACTAAAAAAAGGGTATCGAAATTTTTAATTTCTTTCTTTTCCATTCTTCTTCCCGTCACTTACCTTCCTATGCTTCTTCTAACAACAGCTCCAACTCCCTCATGCTGAGGTCTTGCCAAGAATTTCTTGGCAACAAAACAAGGGTCATTAAAAACACTGCAACCTTTTCTATGTGGCATTTTGTGAAATGGAGCAGACCAAGAATCCAAGACTCGTGAAAAGTGTGAGGAAGAAGAGAAAATGGTTGAAGGTATATATAGGAAGGTGGTGTGGAGAATGAGAAAGAAAGAGAGAGTTACCCTTTGGAAAGGTCAAATGAATGAGAATGAAAGTGTTTGATGAAAGAAGGAAACTTTGGTTTGTTTGTTGTGAGTTTCTGTGAACGTCAGCATAACGCAGTGATGATGTGCAGTTCAGGAGATCCATCTCAGCCATTACATGAATGCCATGTGTCGTTGGTTTTGTTCAAAGTGAGAGCTCCAAAAAGGGAGAAAAAAAAATCTTCATTAGTGCTATTGACATGAAAATGAACAGCACCAAATATGTTTCATTTTCAGATAAATGTTAGTTAAAGTTTAATAGAAACAAGGCATAGTTTTCAATCACTCAGAAATTAATAGATTTAGCCTTTGCTTCAGTGAGTTCACTGTTGACGCAGATGGATGGAGATCTATTCACAATTATTTGAATTTTTATAGGTTATTTTAAAACAAATAAAGCTGCAAAAGAAAAGGTTTAAAACAAATAACAGTTCTAATTTTAAAATTAAACTTGCCTACAATTTTAAAAACCACCGAAAGCTAGTTTTAAGTTAACATTTTCTATTCTTAATTTTTCTAAATAAGAAATAGTGAAAATTGACGTGAATCATGGTTGTTTCTAATGATTATTTGTTTTTAATGATAGAAATAAGAAGATCCAAATTTGCGAGTTACTAAGGGTACCAAAAGAACTAACCGTCTTATTTTAACCCGTCTGTTGGTTCTCTGTTGTCGTAAAAAAAACAAGACGAAATGGATTGATCCGACAAAGAAAAGGGTTGAAAAAATTTATTTTTATATTTTATTTTTATTTTCTTTAATTTTTTTTAAAATATTTTACTTAAGGACTGAAAAATTTAAGAAATTGGATAAGACAGGTGTTTGTACAGGATTGGATCGTTCAGTTTTCAAAGTCATATATAAATGAAAGTCTCAAATTCGTCTCATTATCTGCATGCACAAACCCGATCTCTCTTTTCTCCTCCTTCTTTCTACAAATTCTCTCTAAAAATCTTTCATCTCACCTCATCTGATCTACAATCAGATTGTGCGTAAGCTATCCTAGTGTCAAAGACTTCCATTCTCACCGATCAAACTTACGTTTTGAACGGGTAAGTTTTGATTCTTGAGTTTTTGTGAAATTTGGAAAATTCTGTCACATGCAAGGTAGCCTGGCTGGTTGCATGTGTTCTTCAACCTTCTCTTCTCCTTTCTAACTTCAATTTGGTCTGTTAGGTGGTCTTTTCTCACCCATCGGTGAACTATAGGTGTTCCTAGGAATTTCTGTTGGTGATCGAGTATGAAGTTAACTAATTTAATTACTTGGTTTTGATGTATGAAAATATTGTTTGATGATTATGTGTGTGAAATTGAATAATTTAATGTTCGATGATGTTTGTGTGAAATGTTATATGTTATGTTCATGAGTTTGGTGATTCTATATAATTCTGGTTCAATGACTGAGTGAATTGTGAGGAAGTGTGATGGTGAAATTGAAAAAAATGTGTAGTTTTGATAAATCTAGCTTGTTCATACTTCTGTAGAAGTTCTGCAGAATTATGCAAAAAAATGAGGTTCGATGTTGACCGCTCGGTCATGATCAGACACTAGGTCATCAATGGGGTTAGATTTTCTTTAGTCTTATCCGTTAATGACCGCTCGGTCTTAAGAGAGTGGTCGGCCTCCTAGTTGCATATGGTATCTTAGTAGCGTTTATTTATTTTTTAATTCAAACAACTTCACTTTACACTCATTTTTTCACTCAACCAAAGCCTTTTTTTTTTCTCAATCTAGACAATTCAAGATTTCAAGATTTTGTAGTAAGTAAATGGAAGCAAGGAAATAATGTAAGGTGATAAAATATTAATAGATAATAATAAATTTTTTTTATTAATAAATATTAAACTCAAATTTTAAACATTTTAAATATATATTTATGTTCAGCCCAACGATTATAAAAATGTTTTTCTCACATATCATCGTCTTGTTTAAACTGTAAATTGTATTAGCATATCCAAATACACTTTATGAGTACCTATACATAAAATCAAGTTTTAATTATTCACGAAGTCCCTATTTTCGTGTGGAATCTCAATTTAGTCTCTTTGTTTCTGAAATCTAAATTGGGTCCCAAATTTATGAAAATTGCAACAATTGGATCCTTTTCGTTAAATTGTCTCTAACGGCGTTAGTGTGTGTTTGACGTGGCACGCTGTAGTCAGTTTCTTAACTGACGTGGCTGACTGAAGCAGGGGTAGTGAAGCACGTGGATAATAAAATTTTGTAAGTAAAAAGAAAATGAAAGTTTTAAACCAAAATTGGGATTTAGATTTTTATTTGATCGAATTAGGGATTGGGATTCTTCTGAGTACTTGTAGGGTTCGTCCAAAGTTCATTCAATTTCACAAATTGGGGTATCAATTTGGGTATTTAGGGTTTAATTGAAGTTGTGGTTGAAGATGCATCCCTGTTCGTCTTCGTCATGTAGCGGGTGGCGGAAGCAAGACAGTAATGTGGTCTGTGGTGGTGCTCGAGGAGGATGTAGCAATGGTGGTCCGTTGTGCTATTGTGGGATGAAATGTGTTGTCAGAAATGCAAGAACAGTTAAGAACAGAGGCAAGCAATTTTGGGGCTGCCCTAAGTTTAAGGTAAGGTTTTTTGTTGGTTTTTTCATTGTTCTTATTTTGAGTTCGAGGGTGCCCTAATTGATGTTTTCTTGTCACAGAATGATGGTGAAGATGGTGATTGCGATTATTTCACATGGTGTGCAGATCATGGGGTTGTTGAAACGAAAATGAGTGCAAAGTGTGAAGGCAAGTCTAAGTCTTTGTTGAACAGAGAAGCAATGGAAGGTGGATGGAAGATTATAAGTGATTTGGACTTGTCAGTGAAGAAATTGGGAAATAGGCTTAATGTCTTGTTAGGGATTGTCTGTGTTCTTGTTGTGGTGAACATTATTGTACTTACAATAGTATTTTTTCGTTCATAGGAATGATTTCATTGTACTTATGATGGAATGTACTTAGGATGCAATGAACCAAAGTTATTTTGACTATAAAAGTTTGTAACTTTTGGTAAGGAAGTAATTCAAAGTATTGATTGAAACTTTTGGCCAAAATACTCTTCGTATTGAACTGTCAACTAATAAGCACAATCATATGAAGTGGTTTCAAAGTGAACTGATAAGCATAAATTACATAAACTTCATAAAATTTTCATTAATCTCAAGCACTATATAAAAGTAGAATCTGTTGATCTTTCTGAGTCATGCACATTTTGGATCATTCCTGGAGATTTATGGATAGTAATTGGCAGAACAGTTCATTAATCTCAAGCAAAACCACACTACAACTTTTATAACCATGTTAAAAGTTATAACTATGCTTTTCCTTCTAACACCATTTTGAGAAACATAACCATGTTAAAATCAGAAACATAACCATGTTAAAAGATCAGCATAACATCAATGCACACAACAGATAAATGGAACCAAATTAAGCATATATGCTGAAATTTAATTAATCTCAAGTAGTATATAAAACTGCTCTCATACAGACCAAAATAACCATAAAAACAACATCAAGTTCCATCAGTTATCAACTGCAGTACCACAATAACAGTGATTGGATGTCAAAAGCATAACGTTTTCCTACATCTACTGCTTTTCTACATAATTTTTTGTAGCCTAAAAAGATTACAAAATTTCATTCCTACTGTGTACTACGGTTGATTCCCAGAGTGATGTGCTATTTCAGATTGTTGAGTGGATGGAGTTGCTTGGGTTGCTGATGTACTGGGCACAGTTCCTGCTTGTGTTGCTGATGGGCAACGAGTTCTGTTATGGCCATGTTCTCTACATATGCCACATCTCTTCCGCAAGCCAGATTTGGACATTCTTGATTCATCCTTCCTTATTTCCCATTGCTCTAGTCTTCGTTTTCTCTTTGGTCTTCCAGGCAATACTCTTTTGTGTGGTGGAGACACATCAGGATATGGAGTAATGTTCCACATGTTGGCTCCATTTAAGGGATATATAGTTGTTGAATATGTCTCCTCATATCTAGACTTCATGTAGCAAGAGTCAATAAATTGTTCTCCATCAATGTTGAGGAACTTCATTGCAGCCAATGAATACAACAGGGGATTCCAGTCATCATCCAAGTTCTGCATGTGCATGAGGAGTCATCTATGTTGACTACGAACTTATCTCCATTGTTAGACATGTGATGAACTTCAAATAGCTTGTTGCCTGACCAACTGTGTAGAAGAAGACAACAATAATTATTAACCACAATAGTAAATTTATGGCTTAATACCTCTTTTGGTCCCTCTTTAGGGGGGCAATGTTCAAGTCCGTCCTACCTTTTTTAAAAAGTTCAATGTGGTCCCAAGTTGTGAAAAAAATGTATAATTAAATCCTTTTTGGTCACGGCGTTAAATATTTAACGACCCAGCTGACAGCGTGGAGTAATGTGTGCAACGTGGCTGTTTAGGTTCATTTCAGTCTGACAGACCCAGTACAAGTGTTATTCATTTCAGTTTTCCAGCAGCTTATTATTAACATATTGTTTCCACACAATAAACCCTTTTCCAGACAAAGTTATTAGCAAAAAAATATACGGAATAGATCTATCAGTTCTTGCTTTCAGAAATTGGTTCCTTAGGAAACAACTTTTATTCTTCACTTTGGTGAAATGGAAAATAGGCTGAAATTTCTTTTATAATAACTTCTACTCTTTTTTAGAATAAAGTATTCATATAAATTACTAAACTGAACTAATTACATTATTTTAATAATTATTAGACATTTTTATTTTTAATAAATTTATAAATTTAATAAAGTTAATCATTATTGATATTAGTGATTAAATTTTATTTGAATATAAATTAATAATTTAATATTTTAATAAAAAAATAATATTAATTGCTGAAAAGTTATTTAAATAAAAAATGTTATTTAATAATTTTAAAAAAATTTAACATTATTATTTAAATTTTATTCAAATTGAAAATGTTAATTTAATTATTTTTCAAATTAAAAAGCAACTTTTTAAATAATATAAATAATTTTACTATTAAATTTTATATAT